TCACGCATTCCAGAATACTAAATTTCCTGGCATTTTGCTGGATACTAAGAATACCAAGATTAACACAATACAAGCCCTCACCCTTCAAGAACTCACAGGCCAACTGATGAGACAGATGAGTCTACCAAAATTTTTACTTCAATGTAATTATATACCATCTATCCCAGAAGCCCTAAGTGCACCTAATTTAAGCCAGGGGTGAGAGGCTAGTCATTTCCAAGGAAATGGATTGTTCAGGGAGATTCAGAATAAATTGTTTTTCAAATTATGAAGAAATTTTTAACTTAACCAAACATTTTACATTCATGAAGTCATTTACTTCTCAGAAATCCACATGACTCTTGGAGTTGATCTTGAAGAATGAGCGTTAGTCAGACAGATGTAGCATGGAAGGGACCATTCAAGAAGGGAATGGTGTGCATAAGGGCTCAGGGCATGAGACAGCACATCTGGGGAATAAAAATTAACCCTGCATGACAGGACAAAGGTGCACTTGGTGGTGGGTGATGGCTCTGGAGGAACAGACATGGGCCAGACAATATTTTTATCCTGGTGAGAGTCAAGCACTACTGGAGGATTGCAGGTGACAAAGGGACTTTATCCAATATATCTTTTAGGAGAACCACTCTGGTGGTAGAAAAAATGAAATATTTAGAAAAGAAAGAGTTGAGAGAGAAAAAGGGACCAGACTCTGAAGCTACTTCAGAAATCCAATCAAAAAAATGGTAAGGACCTGGGCAAAGGCAAGAAAATAAGTGGAATTTGAGAATGATTAAAAGAAATTGTTGCCAGGCATGGTATATGCATACCTGTAGTCATCCCAGCTACTCAGAAGGCTAGGCAGGAGGATGCCTGGCAGTAGGATGCTTGAGCCCAGGAGTTCTAGTCTGTAGTGTGCTATGCAATCAGGTGTCTACACTAAGTTCAGTATCAATATGGAGACCTCCACGTAGTGGGGTACCACCAGTTTGCCTAACAAGGGTAACTTGGCCCAGGTTGAAAACTGAGCAGGTGTGAACGCCCATGCTGATCAGTAGTGGAGTCCAGCCTGTGAACAGCCACTGCACTCCAGCCTGGGCAACATAGCAAGACCCTATCTCTTAAACAAACAAATAAATAACAAATTGTTATTTGAAGGCAGAGTGGACGGAAGGAGAGCAAGAGGTAAACTAAACTGATTCCTTAGGACTGGACTGGACAATAGTGGAGATGATTGTGCTACCAAGAGAGACAGATGGGATACCTCTAAAGAGGAGAAGCATGGCATAGTGAAGAGCAGACACTGCCCTGGCCAGCAACCGTGAGGAAAGCTCCTGATCACAAAGAGTCCACCCCATTGTCACCACTGTAAACTTAATCCACCTGAATTGACAATCTCAGAAAATATGTTATCTGTAGCTGTGAACCAACTGTCAATGAATTACTATTTCCTTCCTATCCTCAAAGTAAGAGCAAATCCCAGAGATAGGTATAAATATACTGATTTATTTTGTAACACATAGATAAAACACAATGTAAAACAAGGAAAATGGAATAAGTTGAATATTTTTCTATACAGAAGCATAAGTGAGTCCAAACTTAAAGAGAAATAATTGGAAGTGATTTTCCTTTTTTAGTTTGGCTAGTTGGTCTACATCACACTATGTAAATACAACAGTTAATTTACCTCATTTATATTTATGTACATCTGTTGTGTAGGAAATAGAAAATATATAAATACATACATAATTTTTTAGGTACCTTCTGACTAAATCTTTAAAGACACAGATGTCACCTAGAAATAAATTTACTTGTAGCCTTCAGTGAGATTCTATATGAAAGGGAAATGGCTATAAACAGAGGGGAAACAACACCCCTAAAAGGCAGCTATTTTGGCCTAAGGCAGGTGCCTGGGGGAGCAGAGTCCTGTGTCCCCTGCACCTCCTGAACCCTGGCAAAGAGTCAGATGTGGCTGCACCTATAGCTCTCTCCAACATATCTGCCTTATATAAAAAGCAACTGAGGTTAATTTTTCTCTCACTGCCTTAGAGAAATTATATTGGGTGTGTAGGAGTTAGGTGATAAGAGATCCCTACTACTCATGGAAGCAACAATTCATTGAGGATCTATTGTGGGCAAAGTTCCCACTAAAATGAAATTCTTGTCCTCAAGGAGATTGCAACAGTATTATTACTATGCTAAAGGTGAAAAGAGAGGACTAGCCCAGCATCAGAAGCTGTAGGGCATGTTTCACAGTTGAATGAGTACTTGGGCTAGCTCTTAAAACTTAAGGTTTATAAGAGGCAGAAACAGAAGGGGAAAGAGTATTCTAAGGGAAAGAAACAGCATGCACACGACAGAGAATCTAGAAAGAATGTGGTAAATTGGGAGCATAACTCCAATGTCTCCTCTTTGATGATTTTCCTTAAGCCTCTGAGAATACCCAGGTGCCTCCACAGCACCTACCATATGTATTATAGTTATTTATTTACAGATGTCTCTCCCCAGCCAACACATGACCCCTAAAGATCTGGTGTGCTATTTTTTCATCCTTCATTCACAGCACTCAACATCACAACTGGTGCATGACTGGTACTCAGCACCACCTTGTTAGGTGAATGGGGCCTGCCCTGTGCATCAGTGAAGGTGATTTCGGCTGGCTGGAACCAAAGTGAACGGTGGCGACAGGATGCAAGATGAAATAGGGCATGGAGCGCAGAGCCAGATCATGAAACACTCAAGCCCATAATTACAGAGTTTGGATTTTATAGAGAATGTAGACTGTTTTCATCATGAGAGATTGGTGATGAATAACCGGAAAAGAACCTATTATAATGGGCAAGAGGCCATGAAGATCAGACAATATGAGGCACAGAGGACTTGGCAGCTGCTCAGAGTTCAGTGCTTACCAAGTGCCAGGCATCATGCTGAACATGTTATGCATGCTATTTTATTACATCTTCACCCTTCTCTAAAGTAGGTATCATTATTCCCAATCTAGAGATGATGAAACTGAGGATCCTTATAAATGAGGACCCCTACAGAGCCTTAAGGCTAGAATTCCTTCCCAACTCCATCTGACCCTGAGAACAAAGCATTCTCTTGAGCAATGTATGAGGAACCCAGACAGAAAAAAGTTTCAGCACTGACCAAGAAGAGGCACACTCTTTCTACAGGCCTGGGGCAATCCTGCCTGGGACAGAATCTCTCAAGGGAAGCCAGGCCATGTGTCTACTGATACATACATAACATTCTTTCTTTGCAAGTATTTAACCTCATGAAAAAAAAATTTTAGATGCCAACTTTAAAATATACAGAGATGCATAGCCTTTATTTTGTTTTATGCTTTTTAGGTGGTACAAAAGCAGAAATATTTGTCAATCTTGGTTTAAATTTCTACATAAAAATTTGTGGTCTTAGATAACCATGCAAGGTATATTTAGAGGGCTATTTTCTCTTTGACGGCATGGGCTCTTTCTTATTCATTTTTGTATTTGACCTAACACAATACTTCACACATATTTCAAGCTATGTAACATATTTTAAACTAACCTGGATTTAACCAGTTTGGAAATGACAGAGGCAAGGCTGGCAAGATGAAGTCATTTAGAGACAGTCTAAGAATCCTAACTTTTGTCTTATGGCTCGTGGGTTTTGGAAAAATTTATAATGACAGGATAATTTTTAGCAAGGAAAGAAAGAGAGGATGAGAGGGAGGAAAGGGAGGCAGAGGGAGAGGGAGAGAGAGAGAGAGAGAGAGAGAGAGAGAGAGAGAGATACAGGAAGGAGGGAGGGAGGGAGGGAGGGAGGGAGGGAGGGAGGGAGGGAGGGAGGGAGGGAGGGAGGGAGGGAGGGAGGAAGGGAGGGGACCATAGACTTGACTTCGCAGTATACAGTAATATTTTTCTGGAGGCAGCCTCATAAAGCAGATGGCTATCAGGAGGCAAAATCCAAATTGATCACGAGTTAAGGTTTATTACCTTGGTTAAAAAAAAAAAAAAAAAAACCAGCATGAGAAAAAAAGTAAAGATCCTTATTGCCTGGAATGAAAGTATACAGCAGTGAAATGCAGAAGAGAAGGGAGGCCTGCATCCTTTCTAGAAGAAAACAAGCCCTTTGGCAATAAAAATCGTGATTATCTTTATTATACCATTTTAGGAAGTGAGAAAATAGGAGTTGAATTAGAAAAAGAACAGATATGGAGGTGAGGAGACCATGATGCAGTTTTACAGAGTAATATTATTGTAAATAAAACTAGGTAAGAATACCCTCACTTCTTAAAAAGGTATGAATTTACTTAGTTGTAACGCTGACAAACTTCCTGACATTAACACAATCTTTATGCATCTGTGTTCCTGGCACTCACTCATATCAAGTGCTCATCATTCTAAATTCATGGCCTTTTCGTTGTTTCCTTCACTAGTTTGAATAAAATCAACAAAAGACTCTGAAACTTTTTTTGAGGCACAATCTCACTCTGTCGCCCATGCTGGAGTGTAGTGGCCTCATCACAGCTCAGTGCAGTCTCCAACTCCTGGGCTCAAGCGATCCTCCCGCCTCAGCTCCTAAATAGCTGTGACTACACGCACGTGTCGCCAAGCCTGGCTAATTTATTTTTCTTTTCTTTTCTTTTTTTTTTCGTAGGGACAGGGTCTGGCTCTCGCTTGGGCTATGAAAACATTCTCTTTAAAGAACCAGAATCAATTTCTTTCATTCTTTGTACAAATATTTTTACTAAGGCTGTATTACACACAAGCGTTCACAACACCAGTGTGCCATGGATAATGTGATGATAAAAAGGACATTCCAGGGCGCAGGGAGTTTTAATCTCATAAGTGACGGGGAGAGGTGGCATATATATACAGAACTATAATTCCAGTAGGTAAGCGCCACAAGAGAGATAGAAACGAGCCCCTAAGAGTTCACAGAAAGAAGAAATCACTTCTGGCAGAGGCGATCTGGGCAAGCTCCACATGTGAGGAAAAGACCAGGTTCCTTGAACCTAAAACACACCTCCTCACCTTGGCTTCTAGAAAGAGGTTTTACGTGATGCCAAGTTCTTTGCTTTCCACTCACTCTGCGTGACTGCTGGTTGGCTGAGGAGAGAAATCGCAGCCTATCTCTCCTTCAGGATGTCCGTTAAGATAAACAAAATGGCGCACGCACACGCATAGGCACGCGCACGCGCACAAATACCCAGGGACGGACTTTCTAGACATGTTTTCCAATGAGGGATAAACAACAGAAGCAAAGTGGATGGTAGACAGATGTAGTGGCGTGTTGTGGGATGATTCCCTCTTTCATTCCTTATGCTGTGCCTCATTTATACAAGGGAACTCTTTTCATTCTACCTACTATTGTCGCTGAATAAAATAAATAATATAACAAACAAAAACTCAATGCTATTGGCTGTAACGATGTACGCTGTGAAGATTGGCAGTGATGATGTGACGTTTGGCTTTAATCCCTAGCACCTCTGCACGTGCTGCGGGGTGAGGGGAGGTGGAGAGAGAGTAGGTATAATAGTGTTCTAATAATGAGGGTGTCATACACAGGAATCACGTGGGGGACTTTTTAATTACAAAACAAATTTAGCTAAATTTGATTTCATGTACTTTATCACATTTTTTAAAAAGTAATGAATGTATATATTCTTCCTTTAAAAGGGGGGGGGGAGGATGTTAAAGATTGTTCTAAATTTCCCACCATTTCTAAAGCCACTCACTTCTCCCAGACATAGACATGCCTTAGAGTTTGGGGTGTGTTGTTTCTTCCATTTTTTTTCAATAAACAATGCATGGTGTTTTCTCCATTTGACCTACTGACTTTAAGCTGTAGCACCAGACGCTGAAGCAGCAGGCCTCACATAAACTGTTTAAACCAAATCCCTACAACCAAGCCCTTATTCTATGTCAGTTCAGCTCCTGTTGATCCAACCCTGACCTGGTACACAGGGGATGTCTTAAGAGTCAGAGAAATTAACCCTGAACTGCTCCTTCCTCCTGCCACCTCCCTCCCTCCTGCTTCCTTGGAGGACTGGGTGAAGAGTGACTATTTTATGCCTAGGAAAGAAAAGCTGTCTGCACCAGAATAAGATTGCCTCCTACCTCCTCTGTTGATCTTCCTTCCTCCTTTTTGAGGGCACTGTCTACCCCTTGCTCAGAAATTAACTGATCAGTGCCACTTAAAATTCCTTCTTGCCCAGGGCCCTCAAAGAAGGTAATTGCCTTATTTTTGAAATAAAGGAAATTCACTGTCTTGATGTTAAATATGAAACATGTATCATTTGAAAACAATATGTTAACATACTGCTCCACCAGGGGCTTCCCCCTTATTAGGATTTCATCAATATTGAAATGGACAAGGCTTGGGGAAAAGAAAGTCTTTTAAATTAAAATTTTAAAGTTAAAGGGTGTTGCTGAGACAGGCAGTAAGCCATGAGTAAAAATCCAACACATTTGCTCATCCCAAGTGGAAATGGACACAGCTGGCTACATTGGAGGAAGCTTGCACACCAGAGGCCAAATCAAACATCCCTCTCAAGAGGGTGCCAGCAGCCAGGGCCCATTGCCATCAACACAGACAGCAGTGAAGAAAGTGTGTGATTTCAAGAGCTTAGCTTCATAAATAAGAAAACTGCTTGCTTCTTCAAGACTACACGATGCTGAAAGCTAGGTACTTGAAGAAAACTAAAGCACAATAAGATAAGCTGAAAAACACCAACTCTCTCACTTTCTTCAGTAAGATCACTTCGTCTTGCCAAAACTAACGCTCTTCCCTCAACTTTAGGATTGATGAGGGATAGGGAGGAGGGACAAGTCATCCTTCATTGTTCTTCCTTTTAAAAGAAAGAACGAGAGAGAGACAGGGAACCTCTGCATAAATGGAATACTTTTCTCCCATGCAATTTTTGTCAAACTGGGGTTATGAAACAGACATGTGAAATAATGAAGAAAAAAAAAAGAAAGAAAGTACAAGGTAAAACAAGACATTTTTGGCAAACCAAGTAGTACAACAGATAAGCAGTCAGAGTTATTATCATAAGTAAGACTCCTCATACACGTATGGTGGTAAGGAATGTATCTTTATGTATCTATAGGAGTCTACTTTTTGAGTAAAGGGTAAGTGTTACTATGGTAGTGCCTGAGTTTATCTCCTGTTAAATACTCAAATACAAATAAGAAACAGTCTCCAAACAATCACTGCTGAAGGCATTCTCCTTCAGTGAGCAACTGAAGACCCAACTGAAGGCAGCCTGTATTCTAAGGGAATTTATTTTCTTGCATAACATAAGTCCAAAGGAAGATCAGTTCCAGAGTTGATTAATTCAGTGGCTCAGCAATCTGGTCACAGGCCCAGGGTCTTTCCATCTTCCCACTTCATCATCAGGGTATCAGATCATAATCACAAGACAGTTACAGCATCCCAGCCTTAAACACCAATGTCCAGAGATTTGTGTCTTTTTTTTTTTCTTTAAGAAACAGGGTCTCGTTCTATTGCCTAGGCTAGAGCACAGTGGCACAATCATAGCTCACTAGCCTTGAACTCCTGGGCTCAAAGCAATCCTCCTGCCTCAGCCTCCTGAGTAACTAGGATTACAGGCACACAACCAGTTAATTTTTTTAATTTTCTGTAGAGACAAGGTCTTGCTATGTTGCGCAGGCTGGACTTGAACTCCTGGCCTCAAGCAATCCTCCCACCTCAGCCTCCCAAAGTGCTGGGGTTATAGGTGTGAGCCACTATACCCAGCCTGTGTCTCTTCTTAAGAACTAAGATACTTCATTTAGAAACTCCTTTCCATCTCCTTGTCCAGAAGTAGATCCTGCCCCATCCCTAAACCCTTCCCAAGTAAGAAGCATGAGACCTCCACCATCAGCTTAGACCAGACAGGGTTTAGCTGAGTCCCCGGGGCAGACACAGGAGCAAAGCCAAGGCTCTGGGTGAGCCACCAGTACATATTAGGTTGTTGCTAAGCTAGTGAATGTATGATTCAATCTGAGAATAAAAAACTTGCTATAGGGGCCAAAATGGGCAATTTCCATAATTTTTTCCTAGTTTAATACATTGCCCCCTGGAAAACCTCATAAATAAAACATTAGCAGGAACTAACACTATGTAAAACAGATTTATACTGGTAATCGGAGCTAAATAAGCAATATGAAACCTTTTTCCAGGTAACATTCCCTCAAAGTATCAGTAAATAGTCAAATACTACCTAACTTCCTGGTAGAGAAAATACTGTTTTACATGAAGAAGTTTCAAAATACTGAGCTTTTATAAGACAGCCACCTGTTTAGTCTACCCAGTAGTTTCTTTCTGTCAGAAAACAAAAACCCCCACCACCCTATGTGGTTCTGGTGGACCTGCCAACCACAGTGCCCACCGCAGAGGTAGACATGTGGCCCAGGGCTTGGCAATCAGGGCATTCCAGTCCTGGGACCACAATATTAGACCAACAATTTGACACTTAATCTCGACCAGGCAGAGACCAGAAAAAAAAGTCCTTCCCTGAAATTTATTAGCTGAAAACCAAAAGAATAAATATCACCCCTCTTTTATTGGGTCCTGCCATCTTTGGATCTGGAGATGCCACAGGAAAAAATGTGGCCAATGCAATGACACACACAAAATCAGAGCCCAGTGAGGGTGGGGGTGAGGGGAATAAAGAGATGGATCCAGCTGGCCTAAAGCTGTGACCTTCCCAGTGGTGACAAATTGCATAAATGGCCCCAAATTTCACCCCTCCCTGTATCCAAAACTTTTGCCATGAGACTTGGCAATTTCCCCCACTTCCATGGAAAAGTATATTTCCCCACCCTGACTTGGAATGTGGCCAGGTGACTGACTGATCAATAGGATATTAGCAGACATGACACAAACAAGGGCTTTTTTTTTTTTTTTAGCGTCTTATGGGGGTACAAGTGTTAAGGTTACATAAACAAGGACTTTAATATGCCTTTGCCACCACCAGGGAAAGGACATGCCTCAGCTTACCTGCAGGTTCATGGAAAACAAGAGACACATGGAGCAGACCCAAAGATCTGTACCATAGACTTGGAGCCTAAATCTGCTGATGCCTGAGCAAGCTCAGGTAACATCAGCAGAGCTGGTCCAACTACCCCTAGATGTGTGAGCTAAATAAATGCTTGTTGCCACATGTCACTGAGATATGTGTGGTTATCATACAGAAATGACTGACCAATATACCACTTATGTGAGCCAATAAATTACACACACACTCTTTTTCTTTACCTAATATTTTTGTTTGTTTTTAAAACCAAAATGAAGGCTTCAAATGAAGGGGGCTTCTTACCAGCTTTATTTCCTGTTATATCCCCCAAACCAATAACATGGGCTGGGACATTGTAGGCACTCCATAAATATTTGATGAATAAAGCAAGTTTGAGTTGAGTATCTGTCACTTCAAACAAGATCCCTGACTAATACAATCCAGAAATCAAACATTTGTTTTCCTTTGATCTTACAACATATTTTTATATCCAAAAATCACATCAATAGAATTTAGCCTAGTGGTTGTCTCCCAGATTTGGAGGATTTTCAGTGTTAACAAATCATTAATGTGTCAAGGATCAACACGAAAGTACAGATTAGTACTCAACGAAGTCAATCCTCAATTATTTCTCGGTAGAGAAAATACAAGTCATAAAGCCCTAAAGTCACCCAACCAAGGCTATGCCATGCCATTGCTTTACATGATACCCCTCTGTTAACTGTACCACCTCTCCTAATTAATTAGACCAGGATGGCTTTGTGTAATATGCCACCTTTTGTTTATTCATTCTTATTTCACACATAGAAAAACTGCAAGACTAGTATAAAGAACTACTATATATCTTTCCCTCAGTTAAACAATTGTTAACATTTTGTGCTATTTGCTTTATCATCTGTTCACTCAATATACTTATTTCCCTGAATCATTTGAGAACAATTGCAGGCATCATGCCAGTTTACCAATAAATACTTCAGTATATACCTTCTAGGAATGAGGACTTTCTTTGACATAACCACAGTTCATTTATCAAAATCAACAAATAGATGATTTAATACTAATATCTAATCCAATGTTCATATTCAAATTTTGCCAACTGTCACAATAATGTTCTTTAAAACCTTTCCCCTCAACCCCTGATCTGAGATCCAATTCAGGATC